ATTTTGCATGTTTTGGGGAAATCAACCATCTAGTGTTGCTTTTTAGATAAGTGGTGTTTGAGATGGTGAAACGATAATGACAAAGTGGAACCGATGCCAAGTGGTGAGAGTAGCAATCTCGACTGACGCCGTCAGCGGCAAACAAGTGGAGTGCCGCTAGAATCTCGGCAAAATCTCTCCTCCCACACCAACCCCCCCCCCCCCCCCCCGTGGAACGTTAGCGTGGCCGTTAAAATGCAGCTGCTCCAGAGGCAGCCGGATGGCTCAGAGGTCGGAGCGCCGAGCCGGCAACGCCGAGGGACATGGGTTCAAATCCAGATAGGCGCCTGTGAAAAAAAAACTGGTTCTCAAGCGTAGTGAGTTTGTGGTCTCGGCCCGATCACGGATGACTGCACGCGAAACAAAAACCTCTGAACATTCATTTTAATTCTGAACGTAAGTTGTCTAACTTGCAACTAGGAGAGAGATTAAACATTCATATGAATGTCAAGCGACGAACATTACTCTCACGGTGTTGCCCTCTACCGTGCGGACTGGAGGTGACTTGAAGGGATCTCTCTGCAGCAAGGCCGTAGCCATTGGGGGGGGGGACAAATATCTTCCCGGGTGTCTCGGGGTCCCCCCCAGAAAAAAATAAAATTTTAAAACGAATTTCCTGCCATTTCCTGCCCAAAATATAAAAAAATTCACTAACACATAGGATGGACTTTTTATTTATTTTTTACAATAATGTCTAATAGTGTATTGTATTACATCGCTCTGTTTTTTTCTTTTTTACCTTTTATTGTTTCGTTGTATGTAATGGCAGAGATTAGGGATTAATAAAGTCCAACCATAACCAAAATCAAATAAACAGAATTATATTTTATAGCAATATATATTATCATTACGGCCTTGCTCTGTAGTATCCACTTCTGTGAGTGATCTGAAGGAATACTTTGTCATCATCACACGATGCCTGGAGTGCCATTGGGAGGGGAGAGAAATATATATATACACACACATATATACACATATGACAAATATAAATAAATTAAAGGCAGCTGCTTGTGCTCCAAACAGTGACGGATGTCTGGAAAGTGGCGTGCACATCACAAGAAACTAAATTCCAAGCTGGGGGCTTTTGCTATATGTAACTTGACATGTAACTTGACGCTTCAATTTATTTTAATATTTCTCCGTGACAGCCGTTTATAAGGTAAACCACAATGCGGTGCTTTTTTTTTGTAATAAGTGGGTTTTTGCTTTCCGCAATGTTGAGCGATTGCAACTTGGTTCTCAGCGAGCCGAGATGAGGCTTTGTTTACTGTGCTCCGTGTAAAAATAACGGTTCGGATAGGATGCTGATCCTTTATTTCTTTATTTAACTGGGAGATGAAAATGCAGGCCCATTGAGACGCACAAAAATATCACCTCTTTTGCCTGGGCGATCTGCTTTACAATCGGGTCGCTCATAATACGAAATAAATATTCTTTTACGTTCTTGAATTAAACAAATCTATGCTGTACTTAAGAATAATTTGAACATTCATGAATGCGAATTGCAGTTTAAAATCTGAATTGTATAGCCTCCAAATCAGCCGTTGTGTCCGCATAGGTACATGCTTGGCATTGTGCTAACGTACAAGACATCGCTGCAACAGAGAAAAAAGCTATTAAAACAATTAATAGTTACCATTTCGGACAATAGATTTTTAATTATTGATTAAAACAACACTATCATAGTTTAGAGCAAAAACCATTGATCGTAACGATACTACACCATGTAATGATTTCTAGCGAGTCAATGGCAATATTATTTTAAAATCCTATAATCCTAATGTGTGCATAAATTATCAACAGAGAAATACATTTTATGGCAACCCATAAGGCTTTCGAGCCCAAACTCCAGTCTCAGATTCATCATTATCCCATCATCTGGCCTCGGTTGTTCCAAAATTAATCCAGCAGCAGTTGTCCAATTCAAAACCAGTTCCGAATATAGTAATGTGGAGTGCTCCGATGTGCTTTGGGATTCTACCAAAACTGAACTGAATTGTTTAGGCAGATGGAGCAAAACATCGGACATCGTGCATGACAGCATGCGGTAACAACCCGAAAAAAACATTGGGGAGTTGTACAACATAACCACCAAAACCTCAATGTAGTTACGTGGAATTTCCACCATGGATTTATAACCTAAAATGCAGTCAAAACACCACTGAACAATAATTCTGCGTGGGAATAACGTGTTGATTTATTTATCTGTACTCGGCTCATCCGGCATCGCTCTGTTGGATTGTTGCATCACAGAACCCATGAGATATGGTGACGCAGTGGGGAGGGGCCTTCCTCCAGCAGCGGGATTAATCTTGGCTGATGTGGATTATTTAGCTCCGTACATTTATATATATTTTTTGTTACTGTCATGTACAGTAAATATATCAAGCACTTGCTGAAAGTTGCATCGTGTGTGCAATGTGGGGAAAAAAACCGAAACCCTGCAGCACAGAGACAGGTGGCATTTTCTAAGCTTATTACATCATTTCAGTGCAACAAATAAAAATTAAGTGAGGCATGTATCACAGTAATCTGATTACCACAATCCCTGAAAGCACATGGAGAGGTCACAGGGTGCGTTGGGTGCAGAGTCTGCAATAGAATGGGCTGTGCCAAAAGTTGTAAATCATGAGTTTCCCCAAGCCGCTGTTGAAGCCAACCAGCTATGGAACGGGTATTTTTTGCTTCGTTCAAAAACCATTGCAATTGATTACTGAAAACCATTTAAATTGTGGAATTTGGGCTATTGACACTTGGGAATTCAATTACCGATTGTTCGGCTGCTCCATGCGAGTAATGGGCCTGATCATTTTGGATTTATATTTGAATCGTAAGCGGTCACACCCGTGTTGCCACTCACTGGCCTCTCACGGCAAAAGCACAGGACCCTACCGACGTTCAGCGTACCTGATCTCACGAGCACAAACAAAATAAATAGGTCGGCTTCTACAACCTGTGTGTGTGTGTAGATATATATATATATAAATCGAGCCAACAATATCGTGTGTGGCCGCTGGTTGGATTATTACACCGGAGGACTGCGAGCGATTGTGACGGCTTGAGTAGGCCTTCATTCAGCAGCGGATTGACCATGGCTGACGATGATGACGAATAACAAAGTCGTGATCAGGTCACAATCCGCAACGATGAAAGCGCACCGCACCCAAGTCGCCAATCCTGACCCGCTGTAACTCGTTCGCAACGCCACTTTGGGCCCCTCGTACTGTCCTTTGCTATGGTTCATGGATGGGAAAACCTAACCACTAACAATTAACAAACAATTTTTTTTTATTTTACCAGGTAAGGCCTACTAATGATAATTGAACAAAGTGCATTTATAGCAACCAAAAATTCTAAACGCACATTTCTGGAGGGAGAAACCAGAGGACCCGGAGGAAAAACCCACGCGACCACAAGGAGAGAGACATGCAAACTACAAATATACAGCAGGTGTCAGGATCGGGACCGAACCCACGACCTCCTGCATGCCAGGCGAGACGGTTAACATGTCGCCACCGTGGCGCCCCTACACACACCATCGGCTTATTCCGCCGAATCCTCTTGCTGGCTCACAGAGTCGCGACTTGCGATCGCACGTCCGCCGGCGGGCGGCCACGCAGAGCCGGTTGCCGCACCGCCGCAGTCGCGCACTCTGCGGAGTGGAGGTTTTGATGCCGTTGCCGCTCGTAAACGCCCAGCCGCGACAACATTGCGGTGCTGCAAGCAATTGCGCAACGGCAAACGACGGTCACAAGTCAGCCAATGAGCTAACGAAGCTCTGCGTGTCCCCCCCCCACCCCTCAGGAGCTGCCTCTTATTTGCTACGCGAGACCAGTTGTTGGGAACAGGTAACCGGGCGTCTTGCACGAGTGTTTTTTTTTACCGATTTCTCTTTCTTCGTTGCTGCACATCATCCTATTTGTTTTTGGATGTTGTCTTTTCGGTGTAAATGAGACGTATCCTCGTCTCCAGAATTCTGACCTGGTTAAACAAAATAAACTTGAACTCGACATCTCAAGCACAATACAGTCCCATGCAATTTGGATTAATATAATGTAGCATGGAAATGTGAACCAAATCTGAAGACTTCCTACAGAAATATCGGGGTTGTTTTTTCGCTTTGTTATTTTTCAAGAGAGGGCAATCAGCCATGGGTAGAGAAAACAAAAGGAAAGGTCTTGGGTATGGACTTGAGCCGGGGCAGGGATATAGCAACAGGAATTGCTGGAGGAAAGGAGTCCCAGACCACGAGGGAATTTCTCACCCATCCGGCGTGCGTCTCGTCGTGCTCTCCCGCCAGCACGAGCGATTACCTCCCGTCTCACATTCGCACGAGAATCCACCGTTTTAATGCAGTAAACACTGCATTTTTACATCCCACCACCTCCCCCCCCCCACCACTCCGCCCCCCCCCCCCACCAATGGTTTCAGGTGAATGTAGGCAAGTATCAGGTTAGGCCATGCTCATCTAAAGTCATTTTCGGAGGCCAACCCTGGTGAGAATGACATGGGGACATGGGCCAAGCCCGCTCGCTTCCCAGGGGTCTCAGCGACGTGGCATCACTGGCCTCTGCCACACATTGCATCTGTTCCAATGGGGCAGCGCATGGATTGTGTACACGGCTAAGATGGTTGGGGTGGGGTGGTGGCGCAGTGGCCACGGCTATCGCCAGTGCCGAACCGGTCCCGGGCCTGCGACCCCCTTCGCCAAACCCGCACTAAACACGCTGGCCGGTGCGGGTTGGTGACCTACGACCATCACGGCGCGTGCAGGAGCCCTTCATCCAGCAGTGGAGTGGCACGTCCCATCCTTCTATAGGCAAGCGAGCGAATTAGGCGAAGTATGGTCGCACGACCGACAATGGCGCAGAGGAGAGGCCGTCGCCCCCAGCAGTGGCGTGGGCGAGGGGCACCCCCCCCCTCCTCCTCTGTTGCCGGACCGTCAGGGTAGAGGCACTCACCGAGCCACTCGTTGAATTTGCGCAGCTCGCTGGGCAGGCCGAGCTCGGTGAAGTCACCGGCGTGCAGGAGGACATCGCCGTACGGCATCTGCAGGCCGTCGGTGCGCGAGTGGGTGTCGGAGACGCACACAAAGCGCGTGTGACCCGGGGGCTTGGGCGTGTCAAACTGGGATCGGGTCCACCCTGGCAGACGGGGATGGGGAACGCGGAGACGGATGGGGGGGGGGCAAGACATAATAATTACAGACATCGGGAGGGGCCCTTGGTTAAAACGCGGCGGCGGATAAGAGAAGCGGGCTTCAAAGGACGACGGGGCGAGCAGGAGCTAATAGGTCGGTTGTGAAATAGACGCGGGTTTTGATTTATTTGAGCTTCATTATTTATTTACGCTTATTTATTAACGAGCAAAAAAATGTGGCCGCGACGAGATCGGGCGGGATATGAAACGAGCTGAAAGGCCGGCCGCGCTGGACCCTTCATGTTGCTTTCGTTTAGAGAGAGCAGCAGTTATTTTTTGATGGCGATTGTGAGTGCAATGCTTTTATTACTATTTAAACGTTTGTACTAAGCTGTGCACAAGGAAAAAAGGAACGCTTTCCATGAATAAAAAAGGGGCCCGAAGACGTGCACTCGTCAGGCCAAGTGTAATGCCGAATGAAACTGCTGCAACTATTTTCATTTCGCAAGTAGACTTGAGTCATGCTCTTTTGACTGTTCAGTGAAAAAGTATCGGGGGTTTCAAAAAAAAAAAAGCGGCCCGAAGACACAAAAAAAAGAGATCCGTGTACTTAACCGCACAAAAAAAAAAAGGCACCGACCAAGAATGTTCAACCGCTCGCCTGTTATTACAAAACGATCCCGAGGAGAAGGTGAAAAAACTTTCGGACTTTGACTCGACAGAGTAGGAAGCTTGAGCCGTATCTCTCCTTGCTTTACAATCTCGGAAAATCCTTCCAATAAATCTCAGCGACGGGGCCAGGTGAGGGCCATGCACCACACACTACATTTCCCGCGTCCGCGTGTGCAGCGACCTGTCTCGCGCCGTGTTTCAAATTACAAGCGGAATCCCTCAAGCTTTTTCTAAACTTTAAACACACCTGCCATTACAAATTAGGTTCCTCCAACCACCCTGCCCCACAGCCCACCCCCGCCTTCTCCCCTGCCGCTGCTCAACTCTGTGAGGTATACATTTAGGTAGACATCGCCATCGTCATCAGCAGCAGCAGGCACAATCTATCCACTGCTGGATAAATGCCTCAAAGCCGTCACTATCCGTCACTACGCTGCAATGTAACAATCCGCCTCGCACCGGCACACGAAGCTGGTATCATCTTCTTGGTTCTTTCGGTAAAGTCACGTAGAAGGGAGATAATAAAATAATAAAAATAAAACGTAATAAAATAATACAATTCTCGTAAGACAGCGTCTGAATGAAGAAGACGCTGTCTTTCCGACAGACCTGTTCTTCACCTGAGGACGACTGCTTGTGTTGTGGCCGAAACGTCGTGATAATTGTATTATTTTATTTTATTATCTCCCTTCTACGTGACTTTACCGAAAGAACCAAGAAGATGAATCCCTGCAGTCACGAAAGCTTTAAATCGGAACCTGGTATCGTCAAGCATAAGCCGTCACGCAAACTCCGGTCATCCTCACGGCGGCTTTTGGCCAGCCATCGAACAAAGATGGTGACCGCATCGCGCGCTTTCAGATGCGCTTCTGCGGCCGTCTGGAACGCTCTTCCGATGTTAGGAAGCCACTGGAGCTTTACGATTTTAAATCTAGATTGAAAACTCATTTCTTAAGAACTGTTTTTTGTGTTTAGTTTTGTTGTCCTTCCCTCGCACCTCCAATTAGCGCGGTTGGCTAAGTACGCTGCGAAAGAAATTTCAACATCTATGCATGTATCCTGAAAGAAGTTCAATATACATATACATTCCCCTCCGTTGGCTACCACTCCCACGTTACTTTTGAGCATTGAGCATTGAGCATCATCCTTCACAGCGACGTGTCCTGCCCCAAGCCCACTTGCTTAACGGTTTGAAGATAGATTACGAAAACAAAAAAATGGAGCACAGATTGAAACGGTGTGCACAGGAGTGTGGGGCGATATGCAGGCTTGGTATTGCATTGAGAGAGAGAAAGATAAAACCCTCTTGTTCTAAAACGTACACGTGCTAAGGACAAGTACGTGCAGAGTCTGTAAACTTTATTTAGGCCAGGAGAGAACTCGTCGAGATGAAGAGATATGTGTTTGCGAGAGGTCTGAAAGATACCGCATGGGGGGGGGAAAAGTGAATGCAGATGCGAGGGTACAAAGTATAAAATCCATACTAAACAACAACGGAATAAACGTGCTAACACGCGCAGTTCGGTGATATGTAACGTGCAATTTACAGCGCGGCAAACGGTGTAAATTTGAGAAGAAAATTACAAACAACTTTAAATAGCAATAAAAATGTTGTACATTACGAAGAAACACTATTTCTGCATGAAAAAATAAATTCTTGCACAGGTTTCTCCCATTAATTCGTGGCGCCGCATAAACAACACCTCTTTTACGACTCGTTTAATGCAATGTAAATATTTGCAAAAAATGTTTTTACCGCGCGCGCGTTCCTTCGGATGTCTGAAAGCAAAAGGGGTACTTAGTCGTAAAAAAATCTAATTGTGGCCAGGAACAAGCAAGGGAGAAGGTGAGGAAGGAGGTGGGGGGGTGTAAAATGGACCGGCAGGTTTCATTGTTCCGGCGGCAGCGTGTAGGTCAGTCATCCGTACGTGACTAATTATGTAAAATTACTGGGGTCGAACAAATGAATTTTCCGAGAGCATCATTGGAACACTCTTTGTCTCTGTAATGGAAACTGTCACAGGCTAGTGATGAACTATACATGCCTCCGTAGTTTTGTGTGTGTGTGTGTTGCCTTTAACACATTCACCAAGCGGAATTTCCTTTGTTTGTGTATTTTAAAAAACGCTGGCTGCGCCAACCCTTTGGGATACTTCCGATCGATGAATTAAGCGCCCGTGTTTTGCACACCATAGTCACTATCGGAAATACGAGTAGAAATCACGTGGTAATAATAATATTACAAAGTCAGCAGGGCTGGTAGCATGGGCTGTAATCCACGCATTTAAGCGCAACGAAGGCAGTATTCATGAGATTCCCTGTGAGCAGTTTCACAAAAAGGCAACCCTCGGTCGAAATTTCAAAATCATCTTAATACTATGTACGGGGATGTCAAATTTTAAGGCAGTTGGCTACCTATTGTTAGCAGCAATCATACGAATGATTTATGGCAAAGGAGCCAACGGTAACTGTGAATGCACCATATCTCCATCCCAGCATAGGTGGGAAAAGCCGCCTCTCGTTCGGGTACGTTTGACACCGCATTATTTAATGAGCGGTTCTCCGTTATCGAGGAAGGTGGAGAAATAATTTGAATCCGAATTACGGTGCTAATTGAATGACATACGATAACCCGAGTAGGTAACAAAAGAGGCAGCTCACGATTGTGCTAACGATCGCCAACATCTTCGAACGTGTTAAGAAAGTTCCGCCTGAACGATGACCCTCTTTTTGAGCCCGCTAATTCTCTCGCGTAATATTATTGCACCAGATCCTCGTGTGTGGTAGCAAGATGACGACAACGGCCTCGGCTCAGTCGCCCCATGGCTTTGATCTGCCAAGAAAACGTTCCACCAACCGCGATTCAGTGACCGGTCGCAGCCGCGTACACCTCCTTCCCACATCGCAGTGGCTGCGGCCACCCGAACCAAACCATGGACCACATCGGTAACAACTGCATTTAGATTAAATTTCGATTTAAAGCTTTCGTGACTGCAGGGATTCATCATCTTGGTTCTTTCGTTAAAGTCACGTAGAAGGGAAATAATAAAATAATAAAAATAAAACGTAATAAAATAAAAATTCTCACGACGTTTCGGCCACAACACAAGCAGCCGTCCCTAAGGTGAGGAAACAGAGCTGTCGGAAAGACAGCGTAGTTCAGCGTAGTTCATTGGGACGCTGTCTTTCCGACAGCCCTGTTTCTTCACCCGAGGGACGGCTGCTTGTGTTGTGGCCGAAACGTCGTGAGAATTTTTATTTTATTACGTTTTATTTTTATTATTTTATTATTTCCCTTCTACGTGACTTTACCGAAAGAACCAAGTAGATGCATTTGGATTATTTCGATTATTTTGCTGCGATACATTTCCTCACGATAAGCCACTGTGTGTTCAGCTATTATTTGCTGCCAGGTCGCTTCTCAAAAATAAGTGAATAGCTCAGTGGCCTTTTCCTGGTAAGATCAAAAAATGTTTAGTTTTTTATATATATATTTTAAAGGAATTTGTTTAGCTTTCCTATACTTATTGTTTGCTGTTGTATCGTTCTGGCCCCGTGCCCCTACTGCGCATCTGTGAAAAAGAGCTTTATAGCCCATCAGATTCCTCCTCCAGCATAAGCAGATATTGTGATTCTGAGTTGACGCCCTCTCATTTGGTGGGCTGGACAGCATTTGCCGTGCGACTACTGAAGCTAACACATGGCTCACAAACTTAAACCGGAACGTATAATGTACGACTGCTTGCCATACGCTCACGTGAATTTCTCTTTTTTTCTACTCATCTCTATTCGGCTGGTCCCGACGTGCACGGCAATTGACTGGCAACAGAGATATACGTATTTTATAGAGACAAGCAAAACTGCAATTGTTTCCTGTCCAGGATTAGTCCTCTCCACGTTTTGCGATGCTCTGCTTTGCACGCCAAAAAAAACCCATCTCCACTTCACGCCTTGACACCAACAGTGCAAATGGGACATAATTGGTGATAGAAAAAAGAATCCCTCCACCTCGAAAAAAAATATATATCTACGTACACAACAAAAGGGAAGTCAACAATTGTTGGTGCAATCATTGAAGCGAAATCCAATCAGCGTACAAATAACCAGAAGTCTGTCGCATGACAGGGTCCTGACCCTGCCGAGCCCACACGCGGGCAGTTAGCGCTGGCCCCGGCTGCCGTCTGGCGCACACCGCTCAATCGAACTTGATTTTCGGACCAGAAACCCTGGCTCCTGCACCGCACGGTGGCAAGCCGAGGTCTGAGAAAAGGTCAAAGCCACTCAGTGGGGAGAAAAAGCTTTCGATGTGGTGCCACGCTCCTCGGGGAGAGAG